GCACTCCATCTCTCAGCTCTGGGCATTGTCTCTGACTGTCCCCTATGCCTGGAACACTCTCCCTCCTCCACTCCAACTACAACTTCCCTGGCTTCCTTTATGTCCCAACTAAAATCCTAATCCCTCTTAATTCCCTTTTTCCCCTCCTTGAATTATTTCCTAAGTATCCTGTGTATAAGGCAGAAGAACCCAACTTCAGAAGTAGGAAAAAGAGGGACACTCCTTTGAGCAGGCAAATGCTCAGCACCTAAAGAGTCCTTTCATTTTTAAGATGGAGGGTATGAGGTGCTCTTCAGGTGCTGAAGAGTTGGCATCATCTTTTGGGGAACAGGTGTTACCCAGGATAAATACTATGATTTACAGGGATAGTGCAATTCTCCACTGGGCTTGGGTAGGGAAAAAGTATGCCACCAGAATGGAAAAAAGGCATCTTTTGATTGGCTTATATGTTGACCCTTTTTGTATTATTTCTTGTGAAAATAAACTCATTTATATGTTTGATGCTTTGAGAGCCTGCATGTTTGTGAGAGGAACAGATGGCCACTCTTAGGGTTAGTGCCATACATTAACATTTACAAGTGCCATCTAGGGGTGCAAATAAACCAGACCTTGAAGGATTTACTTTCTTCTTTCCTTGTGAATTCCAGAGAATGAATCAGAGATATGAAAGGCATGCCAAAATCACCTAGGCCTTTCATGTTAGGAGGAAGCCCCTGATACAAGGTTTACACAACTAAAACACAGCTTAGTAGAATTTAAGATTGTAAAGGATGAAAATACAGAGAAATCCCTAAGGGATAAATTCAATGTCTCACTGAAGAGACTTATTCTAAAATATTACAATTAAAAAAAATCAGTTTCAGGAAACACCTATAGAGTAGCAATTTCAGTCACAAAGTAGATAACTATGTTAGCATGTGGTTATAAACTTTATCACCAGAGGTAAAATTATCCTAGCACACAGGAAGGGAACCCTCTAAAAACTTCAGAAAAAAAAAATCTAAGTTTTGCTTTTATCAAGATAAACAGAACAGAGCAAGAAATATTTCTGACAGTAATGTCCTCAAAGCCCATTTCATAGGGATCTCTCTCCACTGTCAGTGGGGCAGAGACTGGCATAATTATAATGGTAGTTCACTCTCACAGGACTGGTTATTGGAGGTATTATCACACTTTGATACTACTATTACAAGGCAGGTGAATCTTACATTAGGCAGATGTACACTAAATCCAATTAAAATGTCCCCAGACTGCCTTGAAGGATTCCTTTGGCAAAATGAAGAATCCATGCATAATATAAACAATCTTCTCACTAATTCTTTTATTCATTCATATCTATTTCATGATTGTCCCCTGTACACATAATCCTACAGCAGGTTCTGTGAAGAACACAAAACATTATTGGTCACCAATCGTGCCTTTCAGGAGGTTATAGTTTAATCTGTAAGACAAAACACTCACATGTAATGTGGCTGTTTCAAAGTGGCTTGTAGAGAGGTAAGGAGAGATGCCTCTAGAATCTCCCTCCCCTGCCCCCATCTCCATTCTTCTCCAAGGGAGACTTTAATTCCTGCCAGGACACGAAGCAAGAAGTTGGGTCAGAGGCTGGCCACTCTGCTCTCCTTAGAGAGAGGGCTTACTAGACTAGAATTATGTCTACCTGCACCCTTAAATGTTGTTAGTCTAGGGAAAGTATAAGATTTCAAGTTGCACTCCTGATTCCTATTCATTAGTGTGGTAGAAAGAGAGGCCCCAAGCTTTATATGCAAGGCTTGACTCCCTTTCCACCAAATATCAGTTCCGTAATGAAGACATATAGCAAATAGCAAAGAATCCATTTATCTAAGTAGATATCAAAACAGAAATCAAGGAAGATAACATGAGAATATATATCAGACAATACAGATGGAAGGAGCTCTCCCATTTGAGAGTGAGATATCTCAGTTCAATGAGAGGTCACCTGAAGGGATAATTCCCTAAAGTCTCAGTATAGCAAGATGTGGATAGTGACATGATAAAGACAGCCAGTTCTTGTCATTTCACCTTCTTCCCAGAGTCTTTCTCTTCCTTCAGCAACCTGAAGAAAGGTTGATATTGTGGATCTTCTCTCTCTAAGAGAGGAAGGCAAGAAGAAATACAGATTCTCTCTTCTATCATTTTCACCAATTCTGCCCTGCCCCTCATACAGGTACGGGACTTTGGGACTCAGGTTATACATACAATACTAATTAAGATATGACTAAATTTCCAGTGAGTGTCCAGTATAGAGAAGTGATATAAGAGTTTGTTTTATAAGCCTTGGGTTTTCTTAACTTAGGGCAGGACAGGATGCCATTTTGGTAGAGTTGAATTTAGTATCAAGAAGTCAGACTAGGGAAAGGGGGATCCAAGTGAACAGAACAAGAAAAGATCAGGCAGACTTAAAATAGGAATTCAGCTGAGATTGGCGCAGGGGTGCCAGGATTAGGTGGTGAAGTCACAGCTGGAAGTTGTGGAGTAAGGGTTGATTGGGGGAGTGGTAATGGAGAAGTACCCAAAATAAACAGTTTAGGTACTCAAAAGTTTGGTTCTACAAGATGGAAAATGAGGAGAAAACTGTGTTATTTGCTCTCAGTGTTATTTTGATCAAGTCAATTCCTCTCTCAGTCTCTGAAAAACGAGGACATTGGATTAGATGACCTCTGATCTCTGATCTCTGTTCTAGTTTTATCTCTCAGATTCTGTGATCCTAAGCTGTTTGTTCATTTAGTCAGGCAGTCAGTAAACATTTATGAAGTGCTTACTATATGCCAGGCACCAAGCTGTTAACTAGGGATATGAAGAAAGACAAAAATCATTCCTTGTTCTCTGAAAGCTCAGTATAAAGAAGGAGAAAACATGCAAACAACTATGTATAAATATGGATGAGAGAAATTGGAAATAATCAACAAAAGGAAGGCACTAGAATTGAGGATCTGGAAAAAACTTCCTTAGAAGGTAGGATTTTAGGCTCAGATTGTTAAAATCTAGCCAAATGCTGAGATTCTTAAAATCTAGCCACTGCTCAGATTCCTTAAGAACCTAGTCAAGGGCTCAGACCCTTAAAATCTAGGCAATAGCTCACTAACTCTCAGATTACTTAAGAGTCTGGCCTGTATGGCTGTTCTTTAATAAATCTTGTCTTTGGCTTAAAAAAAAAATAAAAGTAGGATTTTAGCTGGGACTTGAAGGAAGTCAGGGATGCTGGGAGGTAGAGATGAGAATGAAGACATCCAGTGAAAAGGCCCAGGCAGAAGATGGAATATCTTGTGCGAAGATCAGCAAGGGAGGTCAGAAGGTGGGAGGGGGGCTATGTTAGGAATGTTTTTTCTTTCACTAGAATGTAAGCTCCTTGAAGACAGGACTTTTTTTTTTTTTGTATTTCAGTATTCTCAGTACTTAGCAATTATTGCCTTATAGTAAGTGCTTACTAAGTGCTTGTCAATTCTTTGGTTGCCTGGCACATAGCAGGTAATACATACTTTTGATTATTGATTGGTACATACCGTAGGGGCAGCGAGGTGGCACAGTGGATAGGGTGCCCAGGCCTAGAGTCAGTCATCTTAGTGAGTTCAAATCTGGCCTCAGAAACTTATTGGCTGTGTGACCCCAGGCAAGAAAACCCCAAATGGGGTCATAAAGAGTAAAACAACTGAAAAATGACAACAAAATAACAGCAAAAACAACGCTCTGCCAAATCCAAGCCATACTTGCACTTTGGCATCAGAACTCCTACCCTTGGGACCCTAAGCTCTGATTGGCAAATTTGCTCCTAATCTAGCGTGGTCTATTTTTCTTGGCCTTCATCATACCCTTGCACTGGCACCCTCCCCTCTTCTTTCCCACTTTTCCCCTTTAGCTTCCATTTTTGTGTTGTTTTTTCTTATAATGTAACCTCCTGAAGGGCAAGTATTGCCTCATTTGCTTAGTGCAAGAGCAACACAATGCCTAATGCATAATAATTGCTTAAGTCACTTTTTAATTCATTCACCAACTCATTCACTTGTAGTTCAGTCACTCTGACTTCTCCTCACCCCATCCACAGTCATGGAGTTTTCTTGGCAAAGATACTAGAATGACTTGCCATTACCTTCTCCAGTGGATTAAAGCAGAGATTAAGTAACTTTCCCAGGGTCACACAGCAAGTAAGTGTCTGAAGCCCCATTGGAGCTAAGTCTTCCTGACTCCAGGCCCAGCATTCTATCTACTGAGCCACCTAGCTGCCTCCTAATTCATTCTTCCTTCCTTTCCAGTCAGATCTGATCTGAGGTTCATTTTTTATTTATGTCTGATTTATGGAGAGTTCATTGGAAACAGATTTTTCCAAAGAATTTTGGGGTTCTGGACCTAGCAAGCACAATCTCTTCCATGCAACATTCTTCTGCCCATATTAATTTCTCCCAGTTCTGTTCTCTCACTGTACTTTACCCTTATCTATTTACCCCACAGAAGCAGTTGTAATGAGAGGGAGATGTAAAATTTTAGAGTGGAACCAAAATAGGTAGTAGAAAGATACATGTGGGATTTGGAAGTAGGTGACCTGAGTTCAGAACTTGACTGTAACATTTTACCTTGTGTATGACCTGGGAAAAGTCACTTAAACTTTCTGGTCCTTATCTGTAAAACAAGGAGGTTGGCGCAGGTGGCATCTAAGGTTCCACCCAGCTCTAAATGAATGATTTCATGATCATCACAATTTGGTTTCTTGATTTTGTGTTGTTTTGTAATCCCTACTTGCTCTGTGTGTGTAAGCCTTACCTCCTCCACAAGATGGTTACTTCTTGGGGGAAGGAGCTGGGGTCATATTCTCTGCCTCTTGTAGGACAGACCAACCAATGAATAGGTGCTGGGCATTATTGAATAGAAATGTAAACTGAGAGAGGTGAGTGAAAGCCCAAAACTACATGTCCCAGAAACCTCAGGGTGTGGAAGGAAATGCCCTAGAAATAAGTTGGTTCCATAGCCAATGAGAACCAAGAGTCCATACCCTGGGCAGGAGATCAGGGAAGGAGGGTGAAACTCAACAGTAACTAGCTTCAGAGCTGTGTCTAGAAGCCAGTAAGTGCCTGAAGATCTGCTAATTCAGGCTGGGAAGAAGCCCTGGTCAGCCCTTGCCTGGCTTACCTGGTGGAAGTGTTGGAACTCACCACTTTAGTACAGGAACTGAAGACTGCCCCATCCCCCAGCTCCTGCCCACAGGAAGTTCCTCTTTGCTGGTAAGAGTGTTTTTTTCATCAACTCTCCCTGAAATTGTTACTTTCTCTTTAAGTCACTAGCCTTTTTCAGAGCTTTTCCTTCTGTCTCAGAGTGAAGCCTGGGTCAAGATCAGACCGAGAACACCTTGGCCATCAGTTGCCCCTGTTGGGCCGACTGTGCTGTTGGGATCCAAGTGAGATTGTGTTTGAGAGATTTCACCCTTACCAGCTTTAGATATTAGTTAACAAGGCTGTTCAGAGAGTGCCCACTCACGATGTAGATCAGGGATTCTTACCCTTCTTTAGGACGTGGACTCCTTCAGCGGTCTAGTGAAGCCTATGACCCCCTTTCTCAGAGTAATGTTTTTAAGTATGTAAAATAAAATACATAGGGTCACAAAAGAAACCAATTATATTGAAATATGTTTAGAATATAATGAACCCTAGAGAGTACATGGTACTTTGGTTGTGTACTCAACTGGTCTAACCCATGTTATCCTTAGTCCAGGTGTTCTTAACTTTTATTGCGTCATACCTTTTGGTAGTCTGGTGAAGTTTATAGATCCCGTTTTAGAATTTTTATTTTTTTTTTATTGCCTACATTCATACTTGAAGGAACATCTAAGTTTCAGTTAGAATTTAGTGAAAATAAATATGTAATTTTTTTCCCCATCTAAGGTCACAGAAATCTATCATATATGCAGTTTGGAAGAGTGGAAAATGCTGGATTTAGGTCAATACCTGGTTTGAATCCCATACCTGGACCTGGGTTTGAATCCTGGCCCTGCCATAGTGTGACCTTGAGCAAAAACTGGGACTCAGTTATTGGTAAAATGAAGGGCCATTAAGGTTTTTTCTAAATCTATGATTGGTGGTGCAGTGGATAGAGTGCTGGCTGTGAAGTCTGGAAGATTCATCTTCATGGGTTCAAATCTGGCCTCAGATACTTATTAGCTATGTGACCCTGGGCAAGTCACTTAACACTCTTGGTCTCAGTTTCCTCATCTATAAAATGAGATAGAGAAGGAAATGGCAAACCACTCCAGTATCTTTGCCAAGAAAACTCCAAATGGGGTCACAAAGAGTCAGATATGACTGAAAAAACAACTGAACAAATCTATGATCTTAGGATGTTCCACTCAATTACAACTTGTCTGTAACAAAAAGAAAATTATTTAGTTATAAATAGCATCATAATTACTTCAGTACTTAACAAGATTTGAGTTTATCACTGTGGGTATGCCCTCTGCCAAAGAAGATTGAAGTCCTTCCATGCTTTAATCACCAGTATTTAGGAGATGCTATGGCCAAAATGCCAGTCTTTTGGGGTTGAGATTTACATTGATTCTTTTCCCAAATTCAAATGCTAGATTTTTTTTCTACCTTTCATGATTAAAATTCAGAAAAAAAGCCATCTATATCCATAACTGTTTAGGCCCAATGTCTCTTTCTCTCCAACTCACTCTTTCCCCTTGAAATCTGACTTCTCCCTCTCCTAATTCCACTGAAACTACTTTGTCAATGATTGCCAACAACCTGCTTGCCAACCCAGTGTCCTTTGCTTCAGCCCTCATCCTTCTTGAACTCCACAGTGTTTGACACCATTAACTACCCCCATATCCTATGGGATATTCTTTCATCCTTTTGCTTAGAGTTGGAGTTCTTAACTTTTTTTGTGTCATGGATCCCTTTGGCAATCTGAAGGAGCCTATGGACCTCTTCTCCAAGTAACATTTTAAATACATAAAATAAAATCCATATGGTTACAAAGGAAACCAATTATATTCAAATGCAGTTATCAAAATATTTTTCCTATCCAAAATCATGGACCCTCTGAAATATATCCATGGATCTCTTGGGGTTCCATGGACCCTGAGGTTGAGAATCTTTGTCTTAGAGACCAAATTCTTGGGTCTCCTCTTTCTTTGATAATTGCTTCTTTTCTGTCTCCTTCACTAACTTCTCAAATTCTTCCCTTAAAGTGAGTGCTCCCCAAGCTTCTATCCTTAAGCCTCTTTTCTTCTGTCTTAAGATTTGACAACCTTGTTCACTTCCACAGTTGCAACTCCTAATTTTACAGAAATATTCACTAAGTCTACATCCTCTGGCCCTGTACTCTCTCTCAAGCTCCAGACTAGCATCTCCAACAGTCTTCTGAACCTCTATATTTAGATGTCTCAATGATTCTTTAAAGTCAAAATGTCCAAAGCCAAGCCTGCTCTTCCTTTTGACTTCACCTTTTGTTAATGGCAGCAGCATTCAACCAGTCTCCCATGTTTGACTGTTCTCTTTTTCCTTGACTTCTCAAGGAGAAGTCTCCTTGACTTCTCTAGTCAGTTACCAAGTCCTGGCAATTCTACCTTTTCAATATCTCTTTCATCCACCATGTCAAGTGAAGCCAACCAATATTTATTAATAAGCACCTTTCCTGTGCCAGGCAATGTTCTAAGCCCTGGGGATACAAAGAAAGGAAACCAAACCAAACCAAAAAACCCTGTCCCTGCTCTCAAGGATAATGGAAGAGATATCATGCAAATAACTATGTATAGACTACTTATGTTCAGTTTAGATTAGAGGTAATCATAGAGGGAAAAGCATTGGCATCAAGGGAGATTATGAATGGCCTCATCTCTATTACCACCATACTAACATGGATCCCTACTACCATGCATTTAGGTTTCTACAGTAGCTAAAGTTGTCTCTCCACTGACCCTCACCCCCCAATCTAATCCATCTTTCACAGTGATGCCAAACTAAGCTTCTTCATGCATAAATCTGATCCTTTCATTCCTCTGCTCAAAGTCTATTGGTGGCTACTTATTGTCTGAGTAAAGCTCAGATTTCTTAGACTGGCTATCAGTCTCCACCACTTGGTGCTATCCTTGTTTCATACACACTACCCTCCTAGTATTCTACCATCAAGTGAAACTATACTGCTTTGTTACAGGGAACATGGACATCAGAGAATACTTCGCAAGGATTGGCTATAATCATTCCAGTGAGAAGTCGGATTTGGAGACTTTAACTGAAGTGATGCTGCATCATATCCAAGCTGTGCCTTTTGAGAACTTGGACATTCACTGTGGAATACCCATATCATTGAGCTTAGAGGCTGCGTATGACAAGATTGTGAGGAGGAAGAGGGGTGGGTGGTGTCTAGAAGTCAATCATCTTCTCTTTTGGGTCTTGACCACAATGGGCTATGAGACTACAATTTTAGGGGGATATGTTTACAGTACCTTAAGGAGGCAGTATAGCACTATGATTCACCTGCTCCTAAAGGTCACAATAGGTGAGAGAGCCTATATAGTGGATGGTGCGTTTGGCAGGTCTCATCAAATATGGCAGCCAATGGAACTGGTTTCTGGAAAGGATCAACCTCAGCCTCCTTGCATCTTCCGCTTGAAAGAAGACAATGGAATCTGGTACTTGGACCAAATAAGACGGAAACAATTCATTCCAAACCCAGAATTTCAAAACTCCGATCTCTTGGAAAAAAATGAATTCCGTCATATCTACTCTTTTACTCTCCAGCCACGAACAATAGAAGAATTTGAATCTGCAAATATCTACCTTCAGACTTCTCCTAATTCTGTTTTTACAAGCAAGTCTTTCTGTTCTCTGCAGACAGTAGATGGAGTTTACTGTTTAGTTGGCTGGACTTTTAGTCACAGAAGATTCAATTACAAGGAAAACATGGATTTGATGGAGTTTAAGATTCTGGAACATGAAGATATTGAGAAGATCCTGAAGGATATATTCAATATCAGCCTTGAGAAAAAGCTCGTACCAAAGCATGGTGACAAATTTTTTACCATTTAGAAGGGAAAATCTATAGAGTAGCAATTGGGGTTAGGAAATAGATGCACCATGACAGTGAAGTTTTCAAAACATTATTTTATTGATAAATTTTGTATGTTACATTTTGAGGTTAAAAGACACTTTACAAAAAAAAAACAAACTAAAAAAAAAGCTTCCCTACCTTGACTTCCACAAAACAGTTAGGCAAAACTGCCTACTAGATTGGCAGTGAGGTTTCAGAAACCCCATTACCAAAAGTACATTGGAAAAACTTTTAGCCCCTGGAATATCAGAGCCTTTAATTATTAATTCCTGAAATTTAGATGGGCAGGAGAATCATATAATTTGGGAGTCAGAAGGAATCTCACTGGCCATCTAACCTAACTCATACATGAAAAGAATCTCTATTATAACATCTCTGACAGTAGTCCAATCTGTGCTTGAAGACCTCTGAGGATGGGGTAACTACGACCTCTTGAGGTAGCCGATTCCGCTTTCGAAGCCCTAAAGGGGTGAGGTCACTGTCCAGTCAGGAGAGGGGAATGCCAGTTGGACATTCAAGTGGAGATGTTTGTTAGGCAGTTGGAAAAAGGGAGAAAAGTAGCAGGGTTGGGATTTTAACTGACTTCAAATCCAGTGCTCTTGACATTTGGCTATCAGGAGGCCATGGGTAACTCAGAAGGAAACACAGGTAGCTCTTCTCCTACAGAACCTTGACCTCAATCTATGAGGAAACTGTTCTAGTTTACACATCTGAGTCATAGCAAAGCAGGGTAAAGACCTAAGCATTCCAAGTCCCACTGAACCTTGAACTGTTCGTTCCATTTTATGATGACCATTGTGCTGTCCTCTGTTAGATCATCTTTACTCACCTGCCATCTCAACATGTAAAAAAAATATCCTGGGCTCCAGAATTACTCCTTCCTGTCTCAGATTAAAGTTCAATAAAGTTGAGCTGACTATAGCACTGATACTGAGTTGTTAATAATTCATATATTTGAGGGAGTGGTTTTTTTGAGAACTTTTTAATTCAAGGACTCTTACATTAGTGGAAGGTGTGTTGGGGATGTGCTCTGCACCCCAGGACTTGTTTTCCATAGCTACACATTATCTGATAGTTAATCCTGTGAAGAATTTCAGGGAGGCCAAGTTGTTTCATCAGTCTACATTCTCTCCCATCACTTTTGTGTTCAGTTAGTGGAAGGTGTGTTGGGGGGTGTGTTCTACACCCTAGGGCTCTTTCCACAGCTACACATGATCTGATAGCTAACCCTGTGAAGAATTTCAGGGAGGCCAAGTTGTTTCACCAGTCTACAATCTCTCCCATCACTTTTTGTTTGTGGCTGACTTGAATCAGACTTTTAGTTGGGAGGCAGCCTGTCATACTGTAGTGTTGAACTTGGAGTCAGAAGACCTGAGTTTGAAACCTGCCTCACATACTTTTTAGTTACATCTGGGTGTTACTTTACTTCTTGGGCTCAATTTCCTAATCCGTAACATAAAGATAATAGCACACACGCGTTCGCGCGCGCGCACACACTCACCCACACACCCACACACACTTTTTTTTCCATAAATATTTTACATAAATTACGTTTCTTTGAGAATGACAATTAGGGACTTCAAGGGGAAGAACCAAGATTGTGGACAAAGGAAGTACTCATCCAAACGCTCCCAACATTTTCAAACAAATCCTCAAAGGGGGAAAATTAATCAGGTGTAAGTCCAACAAGAATTTCTGGAAGAGCTTAAAAATTATTTTCAAAATCAAATTGATGAGGTCTAGAGGGTTAGGGGTGCTGGACCCCTAAAATCACAACATCCAGGTCCTGCTCGAAACAATTTGACCCAAGCCTTCTTTCAGCCAAAGACAAGGTTTATTAAGGATCTGCCATATTGGCCAGACTCTTAAGGAATCTGAACATTTGTGAGCTATTGGCTAGGTTCTTAAGGAATCTGAGCAGTGACTAGATTGTAAGAGTCTGAGCCAGTGGCACCTATATTACAGGGTTGTTATGAGAATCAAACGGGAATACATGGAAAGTACTATAAGTCATTCATTGACAAAGTGCTTCACTTACACCATCCTTCCAGTCACCCAGATTTGCAGTATTGGTGACAGCCTTGACTCACCATTGTTTAGCTCACACATCCACTTATTTGTCAAATACTCTTATCTACCCCCACACGTCTCTCATATTAGTTCCTTTCTCTATCCACACAGCCCCTACTCTAACTTAGGTCCTCATTACCTCTTACTTGGACTTTTCTAATACGTCTTCTAAATGGTTTTCCTTCCTCAAGTCTCTCAACACTGCAGTCCATCCTCCACCCACCTGCCAAAGTGATTTTCCTATAGCCCAGGTCTGACCATGTCACTCCTCTACTTAATAACTCTAGTGGCTCTGTACCTCTGGGATAAAATGTCAACTTACCTGTTTGGCATTTAAAGCCCTTTAGAATGTGCCTCAAACCCTGCCCCTCACCCTTTCCATGTTTATTCCATACTGCCCCCTTTCTTGTACTCTACAGTCTAGTCAAACTGGGCTCCCTACTCCAGGCATTTTCACTGGTTGTCCCCATGCCTGGAATGCTCTTCCTCTTCATCTCCATCTCCTTGCCCCCCTGATTCTCTCCTGTTCAAGTTAAAACTCTGTCTTCTACAAGAAGCCTTTCTCAAACTTCCTTAATGTTAGTGTGTTCCCTCTCTGGATTATCTTCACTTTATATTCACTTTGTTTTGTTTTTACATAGTTGTTCACATGTTGTCTTTCCCATTAGATTATGAGCTCCTTGAGAGGCAGGGAGTGTTTTTTTGCCTCCTTTGTATCCCCAGCACGTAGCACAATGATTGATAGCAGGCACTTCCAATTCTGTCTCCATTCTTCACGCCTTTCCACTGAGAATCCTCCAGTCCTGGAATGCACTCCCTGCTTCTCTTTTGCCTCTTGGAATTCCTAAGGCTCAGTTAAAGTGCTACCTGCTACATGAATCCCAGATGCTAGTCCTCTCCTATGCAGAGTCACCTTACATCCATTTTGTATATGTCTGTACATGTACATATTGTCTTCCCAGTAGGATATGAGCTTTTTGAGGACAGAGACTCTTTCACTTTGGTCTTTGTATCTACAGTGCTTAGTAGTAGGTGCTCAATAAATGTTTGGTTATCTCATTTAATGCTCACAATTCTGCGAGGTAGCTACTACAGGGAGGATTAATTTCATTTTACAGATGAGGAACTAGTCATCTGTGAGGAATCATAGCTCCAGACAGATGAGGAATATGAGGCTCCAAGGGATTATGGGACTTGTCCAGGGTCACACAGTGTTGGAGGTGCCATTTCAACCTAGGTCTTTTTCCTGACTGCAAATCCAGTGTTCTTGCTAGCACAGTGGATGCCTAATAAATGTACGTTGGACTGATTTGCCACTGTCCTAGGCTGCTTCAGTTAAGCAGTTGTAGTTGCCTTTGGATGTTATTCATAAAGGATCTACCTCTTTGTGGTAGCACCACTAGAAAACAAGACTAGGAATTCCAGCTCCTGACACGAACTAAGTAACTAGAGCCAAATCACTTTCCGTCTCTAAACTTCAAGTTTCCTCATGGGTTAAATGGGGACGACACTTGCACAATCTACCTCATAAGGCTGTTGTGATGAAAAATATTTTGCAAATCACAACATAAACTTGTGTTACCACCTCACATCCAACTATGCTACTACTACTTCTGTCACCTTCTACTGGAGAACCTTTATATATATCATCTCAATTGTTTCTCATAATAGCACCAAGTGAGAGAATTGCTTGATATTAAATTACTGAATTGAAATATAATTGCCTGAATGTATATATGCCTTCCCCAATTGGAAGTGCTCCCCAATCAGATCTCATTGTAGTACACTTTAAAACTGTATTCATCTGTGTTCATATCTTATTTCCCCTACTAGACTGTAAACAACTTGAGGACAAGGACTTGATCTTATTCATTTTTGTGTTCCTTTTGGTCTAGTGCGATAGACTGTACATAACAGGGTTTAATTTGCTGACTGAAAAAACCAATAAGCACGTGAAAGAAAAAAAAAATTTATTTCAGGACATATTTCTCCATATTTAGGAGCTGCAAATATTCATCAAGACAAATATGCAGAATGCCAGAAGCAGTAATCTCACCTGACAGCAACTAAATATTTTGCAGAATGGGAGTTACCACGATTCATGATAACATTTCCATTCTGTCCATATGTACACATAAATGAATTCCCTATAAAAGACTTGTGCTATAAAATTTCCTTATCCCCAAATGAATTTATTGTCTTGCCTTAATTAATATTTTAAAATAAAATGTAAACATACCAAGAACAATTTAAATGGTACTGTCATTTTATATCCGAGATTTTGAAATAAACCATCAGGCAGAGGAAACAACTATTTTCTCAACTCAAATGCTTTAGGGAATAATTGCCTATTAGGTTTAACAGCTCAAGACTGAAGACCCCATGGTCAATGATAACCCCTCGGCCAAGGATGTATAACATCCATCACACATCTGTTTCTGGAACAGCGTATGTTTCAAAACTTACAAATTTCTTTACAAATAAGTATAATAACATTACTAATTACACAACCAACTCTAATTAGAAATAGTCTCAAAATGTACCAGAGATCTTCCTGCATATTTTGCTTAATCTACTCCTGAGGCTTTAAAAACATCTTCTTAGCTTTAACTGGTTTTATGTTGCCATTTTCATCTTCGTCATACTGTGCTCGATCTCTCTTTTTAGCAAACTTCTTTCCAATTGTGCCCACCAAACTTTCATACCTACAAAGAAATTATAATAGCAAATTCAGTTTCCATTATAAGTAGTGTGAATTAAGGTTTGTCAATAATCCCAGGTGGTATCTGCAACACAAAATTATTGAGCATAATCAAAACCACTACTAAGAGAAGCTTAGAATGTGCAGTGGAGACTTGGAGTCAGCAGAACTGTGCAAACCTAACGCAAAATATTTAACCTCATGCCAGGAAATCACTATTCTACTTTTTACATTTTCCTATTAAACTAAAGGAATGAGCTATGTTTTAATCAGCATGTTATCAAGAAGCACTAAGACTGGCCACCCTGGGTGAACAACTTAAGGCTAGGATTAAAAAAGAATACTGACTCAAATCATGCATTCTCAGTGTCATCGTCCTGTTCTGCTCCTGCTCTCCCTTCCTTCAATCTCCCAACCTTGAGGGAGAACTCCTGGCAGAAACACCAGTGTAAGCTGGGTTACACATGGTACCCTTTTCATAAGGCTTTCATAAAGCAATGGCTAGTTACCTTCTGGCCATTTCTTCATCAGACACATCAGCCTCCATTGTTACATCTTCAACTTCTTCCTCTTTGTGTTTGGCATTCATTTGGACCATTAATTTCTTAAAAAGAAACAGAGCATTAGAGCTGGTCCAGCTCTGGCTTTATGCAGGACTGCTTCCTTCCTGGCACAAAAGGAGAGCAGGAAAAAGCAGGAGAGAAATCAAGTTTCAAACTACTTTCCTTAACTTTTAAAGGATTAGAGTAAATGTCAACTTCTAGCATTCTGCTACCTGACAGTGCTTACAAAACAAAAACAAACAAACAAAGAAAAACCAAGCCAAAATAATAGGTTCTAAATATGTCATGCTACTAGAAATTAACAAATGTAGGCAAGGATTTTCTCCATATTTTTAAGGATCACGTGATTCCCTTAGCCCCTTTCTTATCGTCAGGAAATGAGAATAAAGTAAACTACTTAATATCACAAAGCAAAATCAAGCCTACCTCAAAGGAAACATTTTCAAATTGTAGCTTGGATAGCCATACATGGTTTTAATAGGAAGGTCAGTGGCTGCTTGAGACACACAAATTATATGTAGATGGGGTTCTCTGGTTTGGTAGATGTGGGGGAATTAAAAGGGGACAGAGTGATCAACTCCAATTGCATGAAGCTGGTTTAGGGCCAGTTCTGAAGATGACGGTATCTTTGGTTGTTAAAGCATGTAAAATGTGTGTCTTGGGGACTCGGCAATTCCAAACGTAGTTAAGCAACTTCATCATGACCCAGATGTTCTTTGATCTCAGCAAGAATCCTGGGTGTGCAGAAGACAATTTCAATCTACATACTATACACTGTGCAAACTGAGGAAGTCATAGAATCACAAATTATTAAGAATTAGAAGGGACTTTAGAAATCATCTAGTCTAATCCCCTGATTTTACTAAGCAAGTTTGAATTACTGGGGAAACAGAGGTCCACATACGTTAAGATTGCAGTTAATAGCACAGATGGGCTAGGGAATGCACAATTTATGATTTCTAGGCCAGTGCCTTTTCTTTTCACAAGAACCTTAAAAAAAAAAAGTTATAGCCTGTAGAGTTGGGAAGGGATGTAAGAGAGCATATAATCTCTTCTGCCCCTCTGCAATCATGTGGAAAAGGAAGGGTGAAATTACTTGCATAAGCCCACATAAGTAATAATAATAATATAGTTAAAAGTGAAACCCAGGTTTTCTGACTATGAATATGTAACTCTTGCCACTGTCACATACTATCTCTTTGTACAACCCCTGGCTACCGGGATCTCAGGGTTGGTTTGGGACTATTGCTGGGCTAGTAATAGTAAGCATTTTGAGTCCAACCAAAGAAAAATACTGTCCCACAGATGTTGAGGAAATCAGTGCTTAAAAAAAAAAAAAGCACTTTAGTGAAGTAACTGAGATTACCAGAGAGGACACAGAAGGTTAAATTTTATTTATAAGAAGTACATTCTACTTTGGTCACCTGTTTAATGCTGAGATTTTTGCTGGGATAAGAAATAACTTCTCCCTGGTTTTAAGTGATAGAATTTGGTCAAAAAGTTGTTGGAAAGATATTCTAGGGGGCAGCTAGGTGGTGCAGTTGCTAGAGCACAGGCCGTGGAGTCAGGAGGACCTGAGTTCAAATCCAGCCTAAAACACTTGACACTTATTAGTTGTGTGACCCTGGGCAAGTCACTTAACCCCATTGCCTACCTCCCCCCCCAAAAAAAAGATTCTAAAGAAGATTATTTTATTTTTTATTTTGAATAAATCTCTATGCTCAAATCAGTTTGTTTTTCTGTTCAATCTGTGCAGTACCCCAGACTACTCTTACTGAATACATTTTAGTCTTCTGGACACCTAGCTATTCTATTACCTACAAACCACACTCACAGCAATTGTACAAAAATTAAGACATTGTAAACCATCAATAACACTTTTTAAATGATAAAAAATGGACAATAAGGAAGCTTGGAATTATAAAGTGTTGGGCTTATCTCCAAGAAGGCCTAGGTTCAGATCCCACCTGATAATCAGTGGCTATGTGTCACTGGAAAAGTCACTCACTCTCTAAGTACCTCAAGAAACTGTCTGCTGGTTACCTAAGTTATTAGATTAAATATGGTCTGCAATGTTAAAAGTTTCCCACATAAAGTTTCCTATGCAGATGAAATCCTTGTGTGTTACTATAAAACATGGCCAGAGAGGTTTCTAGATTGCAAATTTTACTACAATAAGTCCATTTGGTTTATGATGCCATTTTTCCCTCTCAAAATACAAGGATCCTTAACTCCTACCTGAATTTCAGGTTTTCTTGAAATCTACTTAAAATTACTTAAGATGTATCTACCTGAAAGCTTTTCAAACTCAGATTCATAGCACTTTAACTAAAAGAGACTTAGAGATCATCCTCATGTCAAGGATGGGAAAACTTAGGCCCAAAGAAGTTAAGTGGTCACACAGTTAGTAGCAGAGCAAAGACTGGACCTAGTGACTCCTGCCTTCCAGTCCAATGGTCTTTCCACTGTACTTGTTAGTTACTAATGTATTTGAGGATAGATGACTGAACCACAGAACAAATGTAGGTTGTATTGTGGTACTTGTGGTGCAGTGGATAGGGCTCCAGGCCTGGAATCAAGAAGACCTGAGTTTTAATACAGTGTCAGATAATTTTTAGCTGTGGACCTTTGGCACATCACTTAGCATCTTTGCCTCAGTTTCTTCATCTGTAAAGTGGGGATTATAAGAGCACCTACCTCCCAGGGTTGTTGTGAGGATGAAATAAGATATTTTGTATCTTTTTTGTAAATATTTTATAAAGCACAGCACCTGGCACAGGGTAGGCAGTTAATAAATGCTTGTTCGCTCCAGTCTCCTTTCTGTTACAAACATTGCCAGAATCTGTAAATGCTACTTAAGATGTTTGCTGAAACAAACAACCATGCAGCAGCAACTGAAATCTAACAACTCAGTAGAGCCATTACTTTGCCATATGCTTCTAAAGAAAATCTAGATTATAGGTATGTTATAACTAAAGGTAGAAAACCTACATTCTGTGAAACTCTCAAATCCCCATTTGATGCACCTCTAGTTAAGAATCAGAGTTTTAGAGATAAAATAAAAGTGACCACAAAACCTTAAGAGTTGGCCATCAAGTCAAATTCCTACCCAGATCCTAAAACGTCTTTGTTCTCTACTGTTTTTTTCCTCTCCATTTTAAATTGTTTCTCCTACCTAAGCTATCATCCACTAAAACAAATAAATACGTTTACAGATGAAAATCACTATAGTTTTCAAAAGCCTTCTGATGCAGAATTTACTTCAGTGAATGTGTGATCTCACACTGGTATGGGCTGTCATTCTATTAGTACCGATTATAAGCCATCTGTGCCCTCTCTCTTGGACAGTTGCCCACGTCCTTAATTATTTGCCCAAAACATTGTAAATCTTCCTATAATATTTTAGTATTTCTTGGAGAACAGTGAAACTCTTACACCATTCATGAAGGTAAATTCTGTTTGTTATGTGACAATCTATGAAACATCAGAATTTACCCTCATTTTGCTCCCCCCCTTTTTGAGTGAGGCAATTGGGGTTAAGTGATTTGCCCAGAGTCACACAGCTAGTGAGTGTTATGTGCCTGAGGCCACATTTGAAATCAGGTCCTACTGACTGCAGGGCCGATGCTCTATCCCCTGTGCCACCAAGCTGCCCTTCTGCCCCTTTTTAAAAGCCAGAAATGATAAATCACTTTTTAGCAACTGCAATTTGGAGAGTTTTTTCCAGATTAATTGAGGTGATGACATAGGAATGATGGGTAGAAGAGATTTTTGTATGAGACAACTATAGAAAAATCTTTTGTACTGTTCACTCAGAGGTTGTCACGATGGCACATAAATATTCCTTAATCAGTCCCGAGTGGATTAGTCCTATCCCATCTAGGGCATAGGAATTCTTGGGGTCCTTGCATTCCTTAAAACTGAAAGGGGAGTACAAACCCTGATATTCACCTTTTTCCTGGGGTCTTACTCTTACTCAGAAGGGCACAGAAACTTGTCCCAATCTAGTTTTCCAATACTTGGGCTTACATATGCAGATCCTTGCGTGTATTTGAAATGAGGCACACACCAAGTGGTATCAGTTCACAGAATCTTTACTGCATTTTCATGTAATTATGCTATTGATGACAGCTTTGCTATGTTACGAATAGATATGGCTCAGAGCCACGACAAAACCCAAAGTTAAGCAGCTCAGTAGCCCAGAAGTCGAAGGATTGTATAATGTAGTTTAGTGAATAGAGCACACAATGAAAAGACCTAGGGTAGAATCTGCTTAAGACTTTTCTTAGCTCTATGATGAAGGTCAAGTTACATTACTTCTCTGAACCTATTCATTCATCTGGAAAATGTTGATAATCCCAGGACTTTGTGAGGATCAAACAACAATGTATAAACAAGTGGTCTCACTTTATAAAATTTAAAATGTTTCACAAAGATGAGCCATTTATTTGATTGATGTACCTAGTTTGGCAGACCCCAGACTCCAGAGACACTCTGGAAATGGACTCTTGACTATTTGGACAGTGACACCTCCTAATTCACCCTGGGAAAATACTTACAGAATACTTTGAAGCAAAGTTCTCCTATTAATGGGGCTTCTTGCAAGTCTAGACCCAAGGCCCTCAAGGGGCTAGCCCGAGACTCCCAACATCCTGATCACAATCCCTGGGTCTTCTGGTGCCTTCTGCAGACTTATACACAAGTAGGACACGGTGGAACTTCTTCATTTCTTAGGCATATCTGATCCACTTTGCTTGCCTCCCTTTCAGGACTGGTTCCTGCCAACTTTCACCTGGTTATGGTTTCTGTTTTAGGGGGCCCCTTTCTTTAAGATGGTCTTTATTTATGACTGGGTTTCTCTCCCACTCATTTTTTCTGTATCCCCTTTCTACCTAGCTCCTTGTCTTCTATCATACTGGTTAGCTTACCAAATTATAAACTCCTTGAAGACAAAGAGAGTGGCAAATTTATCTCTATACTGCTTCCCTTCCCATGACAGGAGTACATAGTAGGCAGTTAGTATTTGCTGAATTAAATGAAACCATTAAAACTCCTCAAACTAAAGGGGAACAAATCTTTACTGCATATGCTTACTTTACCACAAACCTGATTTATGAAAATCCAGATGAACAAAATAAATTAGGTAACGATTATTTGTTTAAAGCATGATATAGTAGACAGAGCACTAAATTTGAGTTAGATAAGCTGGCTTCAATTCTGGCTCGGGTAATTATAAATTGTGTGACCTTAAAGCAAATTAGTTCACCTCTGGCCTCACTTACCTCATTTGCAAAATAAGGGGGCTGGCCAGATGACCTCTAATGTCTCTTCTGGCAATAATCACTCTATGGATTGATAAAAGAATGTGTCATAGGTTGCCTTTATATCCTATGCATAAGAATTTAAACTTAATTTACACAATAATTTAAAGGGAAACTTCAGGTACATAAAAGGGAGATATATCTGTAAAGACCAATGAGAAAAAAATTTCAGAACAAATAACATTATTTGAATCAAAATCCTGACATTTTTACAGAAGACTGGGATTATGAAGTCCCATCTTCAAATGACAACAAGACCAGATGCTGTCCTATATACTCTAAGACCTGTTATCTTCCATTACGGATAAATTAGTTTTTAAAAAAAAAATCCATTACTGGTAGAAGTGATTAAATTAGAAAAATCTCAGATTTGGAGTAACTATTAAATACCTCAATTTCTGGATTAAACCCTCTGAAAGACATTCTTCCATACAAAAGATCTTCACAAAGCATAAAGCTCTGCTCCTCTATTATGAAACTCCTAAAGGGGGAAATATATTTATATGAATACCATGTCTTTATTATTTGCAATAAAGAGTAGCAAATAAAAACCAAGAATAAAATGCAAAACTAGCCAATTTTAGGTTCTTAGTAGACACAAGGGAACAGGCAGAGATGACTTAACTAAAGAAAAAAATCATGTCTGAATATCTACCTCATAAATTTTTTACCCCGGCAAATAGCATCAAAATGAAGAAAGCAAAAGATTGGCAAATCTTCCTAGGCAGTTCATTTGCATTTAATTTACTCTCATTTACAGAAAATTTCTTTTGGATAAATGAGACATCACTGATACAAATTCCAATAAACTCACTCTTTCTCCTTAAGTTCAGGTAAATCCAAGTACCAGTGTTCTTCACTGATTATTTTCTTTTCTTCCTCCTCTAGCTGTTTTTTAGTTTCCGCATCCAACCCCCTTTGCATGAACTGGATTAAAAACAATATGATCAGTCAAGTAATGAGCTAAAGATAGTTTTAAACTTTAATTAATACTTTTATGGATCCATAATTTTATCCCCTCGGTCAGTATGAGACTGAAAGACATCTTTTTGTGATTCTTAGATCACTGAAATAGCCTTCCAATTTATCTTCCTGTGCCAAGTTTCTCCCTACTCCAACCCATTCTCTACTCAGATGCCAAAGTGATTTTCCTAAAACAAAGGTCTGACCTTTGTCCCTCTCCCCTACTCCCTCAATACACATATATTCAATAAGCTCCAGGACTCCATTACTCTTGGGATCAAATATAAAATTCTCACTGGCATTTAAAGCCATTTACAGCCTGGCCACGTTCTATCTTTTGAGTCTTTTTACACTGTACTCCACTCCACAAACTGCATGTTCCATTTATATTGGCCTACTTGCTGTTCCTCACACCTGACATTCCATCTAGTGACTCTATGTGCACTGGCTGTCCCCCAGGCATACAATGCTCTCAGACTTCATCTTCAACACCTCAGTTCCCACACACCTGGAAGCTTCTACTCAAATCCAACATTTTATGGGAGGACTTTCATGCCCCACCCCCCACTCCATTCCTCCTTCTTTCTGAGATAATTTCCCAGTTACATTGTATATGTCTAATATGTACACAGTTATTTGCATCTTGTCTTCTCCATTAGAATGTGGGCTCCTTGAGGATGAGAACCCTGTTTTTGACTTTACCTTTTTATCCTTAGCATAGTAGTTGGCACATAGTAAATATTTAATAAATGCTTATTGACTGACTTAAGAAAATCTGCTAAACAATTTGGAATTCTTTTTCTTGGGTGTTCATCTATCTATCTCTTATCACTTTATGACTGATCCACCTCTTTTCCAATCATACATACATTTCCTGCATAACATCCCTTACTCCTTTTAAGCAGAGGTCATTATTAGAAATATGAGCATAGTTCAGATATATTGCAGGTTCAGTTCCAGACCACCACCAACAAAGCAAGTTGTGTGAATTTTTTGGTTTCCCAGTACATGCAAAAGTTATGTTTACACTAAACTGTAGTCTATTAAGTATGCAATAGTATTATGTCTAAAAAAAATGTAGATACCTTAATTAAAAAATACTTCATTGCTAAAAAAAATGCTAACCATAACCTGAGTCTTCAGCAAGTAGTAATCATTTTGCTTTTAGAGGGTCTTGACTTGATGTTGATGGCTGCTAATTGATTCAGGTGGTGCTTGCTGAAGACTAGGGTGGCTGTGGCAATTTCTTAAAATAAGTTAACCACGAAGTTTGCCACATAGATTGACTCTTCCTTTCCCTTGAACACTTAGACGCCACTGTAGGATTATTAATTGGCCTAATTTCAATATTGTTGTGATTCAGGGAATAGGGAGGCCCAAGGAGAGGGAAAGATAAGGAACAGCTGGTCAATGGAGCAGTTAGAACACACACATGATATTTATCAATTCAGTTCACCATCTTACGTGCGGTTTGTGGCGACCCAAAACAATTATAATAGTATCATCAAAGATTACTGATCACACCCAGCAATAGCACTTCTAGGGCTGTATCCCAAAGAGATCATAAAAATGGAAAAAGGATCCACATGTACAAAAATATTTATAGCAGCTCTTTCTGTGATGGCAAAGAATTGGAAATTGAAGGGATGTTCATCAACTGGGGAATGGCTGAACAAGTTGTGGTTATATGAATGTAATGGAATACTACTGTGGTATAAAAAATGAAGAGCAAGCAGCCTTTGAAAAACCTGGAAAGATTTGTATGGACTGATGCTGAGTGAAGTGAGCAGAACCAGGAGAATATTGTACACAGTAACAGCCACTACTGTTCCATGACTAACTTTGATAGACTTAGCCCTTCTCAGCAATGCAAGGATCTAAGACATCTTCAAAAGTCTCACGATGGAAAATGCTATTCACGTCCAGAGAAAGAATGATGAAGTTGGAATGCAGATCGAAGCATACTATTTGCATTTTTTTCTTCTGTTTTGTTTCCTCTTTCTTGTGGTTCCTCCTATTGGTTCTAATTCTTCCTTACAACATGATTAATGTGAAAATATGTTTAATAGGAATGTATATGTAGAGCCTATATCAGATTGCACATCGTTTTGGGGAGGGAGAGGGAGAAAAATTTAAAACTCAAAAGCTTATGGAAGTGACTGCTGAAAACTAAAAATAAATAAATTAATTAAAAAAAAAGAAAAAAGATTACTGATCACCATAACATATATTATAATAATAAAGTTTGAAATATTGAAAGAATTTCCAAAATGTGATACAGACATAATGTGAACACATGCTGTTGGAAAAATGGCACCGAATGACTTCTTCGATGCAGGGTTCCCACAAACTTCCAATTTGTAAAAAATGCAATATCTGAGTAGTGCCATAAAGGGAAGTGTAAGAAAATGATGTATGCCATTTTCACTTAACTTGTGTCTATCTACTGCCCTTTGCGTTAACTGCAACTCTGATTCTATGGAGATAATAATACAAGATTTGCAAACAGAGTTTTGATGGGAGAAGACTAATGTTAAAAGATAAGTGTGTGTCTAGGAGTTTAGAATCACAAAAGCACTGCAAAAAATCTTGAGTATAATCCACCCCACTCTTCCTATTCACTTCTGAGACCAATTCATTGTCTATCTGCAATGCCTATGCCAAATATAAGTACTGATGTCAATAGATAGACATCTAATTATTCATATCATGGTCTGGACAATAGGCACTTGCCATTCATTTGTATTTTCCTGAATAAATTGATTGTCCCACCTCTTTTGACTAATCATGAGATTCTTAAGGTTCTGGGGCTCAATGTAACCAGCATTATCACCTGAAAATGGAAGTATCTGAAAAATCTCATCATCTGTAAAGAAGCTCCAATTCCAACTCGATCATGGGCAGTATATCTTCCATGACAAGGATGATGAAAACCTTTGGTATTCACCCAGTTTTGGTGAGGGTATCTTCTAGTTTTATGTCTCACTTGACAATAATCAGAAGGTCACCGAACAATTATCTCTGTGATTGCATATACTAAGGAATCTTATATGATCTTAAAATATACAGGAGAGATTCCTTAATGAAGGAGAGTCTTTGTGAAGAAGAATTTGTCTTTTCTACTTCTGGTCAACTGAATGGTTGTAGGTATGGATTGCAATAGAAAGATTTAAAAAACCTGTCTGTTTTCTTTCCACATTTTCATCAAGGCTATCATCAATACATTTGTAGATCATGATTACTTATAAGACTAAGATGGATGTACATAAAGTTATTAAAAGCTGATTTGATAATAAATATAATACACTTTAAAACATTCAATTCCATTTTATGGCCAAATGAAAAGAGGGAACAACAAAAAAAAAAGACACAAAGGTGAGAGATACAAAGAGAGATACAAAAAGGCCTAGAATTCTCTTCCTTTCTCTCTGGAGCCTCTAATGGTTACAAATTATTCCTTAGACAAATTAAAACTCTGCGGTGGATTTCAAAAGTAAACAACTATTACCTTGGTGTTGATCCCCAAATTTCTATCTTCAACCTCAATTTTTCTCTCTTGAAATTTCCTGACCATTTCAAAACACGTTTGGAAAATCCCTAATAGTCAGATGTCTTTGCAAGCACCTCAAACTTAAAAACAAGACTCATCTACCACTACCATTCTCCACTCACACACAACTCTTTTTTGTCAATGGTATCTCCAGTTTTCCTAGTTACCAAACCTCAGCATCAACTTTAATTCACTTCTTGTCTGAATTCTTTTTTTTTTAGTTTCTCATAAGTTCTCTCTTCCTCCAGCCTATCCTACTCCAATTCAGTCTGAACCTTCATTCACTCATCGATTTCACAACCTTTTATAAGCCTACTATGTGCTAGGCACTGCCCTAGGTGCTAGGGATAAAAAGAAAAAATGAAATTCTCTCCCACCTAATCTCTGCTTCCTGGCTTTTCTGACATCCTTCAAGTCCCAGCTAAAATCCCACCTTCTACAGGAAGTCAATCCCCCTTGATTTTAGTGTCTTTTCTCTGTCTATTATTTTCAATTTATCCTCTATATAGCGTTTGTACATAGTTGTTTGAGTGTTGTGTCCTCCATTAGACAGTGAGCTTCTTGAGGGCAGGGATTGTATTTTTTTTTTTAACCCTAGGACCTTAGCTCAGTGCCTGGCTTAACAGGCGCTTAATAAATATTTTACTGACTAGCTAACCAAACAAAAAAAAAAAGGCCTCTGCCTCAAGAAGCTCACATTCTACTACATGCAAAAGAAAAAAATTCTAGAGGTGTAAGTAAACAGGAAATACATACAAAGTCATCAGAAAAGTGACATGGAAGGGGCCCTGATAGCCTCTGGATATTCATTTCTAAAATTTCTCTGACCACGTGACTCTCCTGAAGAAAACCTTCAAAGGCTTTTTTTTCTATCGCTCGGACAATAAACTCCAGCCTTCTGAGTCTGGCATTCAAAACCCTCCATGGTCTGGCCCTAGTTTTCCTACCACCCCACACCGCGGCCTCCGAGACTAGCTTCGAGGCCTCGCCCCTCTCCACTCCTGCAGCCTCAGCCTCCCTCGCGGACACCACACCATCTCCCGCCGCGACGTCTCGTACCTTCATCCGCATCAGATTCTTTGACAGCTTGGGTTTAGACGTAGCCGCCATGGTGCCTTAAACTACACGCCAAAGCTCCGAGAGAAACTCCGTCCGCGTCGCTGCTGCCTACGTCACTCTCCCGCGCCGGTGGTCCCCAGGGCGGGGTGAGGGCGGGTACCGTTGCGAGAGGCCTTCACTGAGCCCTTTGATGCGCTTGCGCAGACTGCGTAGTGGAAGCGAGGCTCTAGTTGTCTGTCTGGGACGCAGGTGCTGCGGGGTGCAGAGTCTGGTTTGAGCGACTTGCCTCGCTGCGCACGTGGGCCTAGGTCCCCTTGACACCTGGGCCTTCTCCAACACCAGCGTGCGCCCGGGCTCGCGCCTTCGCCAGGTCCTCCTTCGCTTCCCTTGACTTCCAGGGGCCATTTCTATAGGGAAGAAGACCGCGATGGTCACCCTCCTGCTCTGATTGCAGACCTCGGAGAGGGTGGCAAGGATACCCAAGCCTAGTGGAGGAGAAGAAAGAGAAAAACCTACCGTTAATTACGTAGCTGAAGCTGAAAGGGCTTTAGCAGCTATCTAGCCCACCTCCCTCATTTAAAAGATGAACAAATTGAGATCCAGAGAGGTTAAGTAATCTACTTGGGATTAGTTAGGATTTCAACCCAGGTTCTTTGACTCCGAAGTCAGGGTTGTTTTCCATCTAATTTAGGGTTTATTTTGGTCTTACATGAAGTCAAGACTGGAAGGGATTTTAGCAGCCATGAGGGGAAACTGAGTTAGAAAGGGGAAGTGACTTGCCCAGGGTAATTACATGTTGTATCTTGAGTCAAAGAACTTGGGGGAAGGTCCAGAGAGAAGTAACTTTGTCCAAGGTCACACAGTTTGTAAATGATTCCAATTCAGGTTTTCTGACTCCAAAGCCAATGCTTTTTTCTATTGACCAGTGCTCCTTAGGGCTATTGCATCCTCTGTAGATATGTCTTGGGTACTGTAGGAAATATCACCCTGGGTCTGATGCCATAGTTCATTTAGCAGTTGACCTTTCCAACAGTCACCAAGGGACATGCTATGTGAGGGCCTGATTGTCCACTCTAAAAGTCAATTGTATATCTCCAGCTTCTCTTACTATCTATTTTGCTGTTGTTATTCATCACTTTTGAATTTGTTTTTTCCCCTTCTTGTACCACCTCTTGGTAAAATGAAATCCTCTCTCAATTTTTTTAACTTTCTTTATCCATCTTTTCGACTCCCTTCCTTTCTGTTATTCTCCCCATCTCCTTCTGTTTGCCTTTCCTGATGTCTTTCTTCTTTAACTTGATGAAGTATAGGAATGTAATATAAATTTTAAATGTTTGCTTTATTAGAATAAGTGTAAATTTTATGTATTTAGCCTAATAGAATAGTTTTATATTATTAAACTGAAAACTCTTTGTTTCCTCTAATACAAAGTAAAATTGGGGTTTTAAAATTTTATGTTTTTTTGGGGGGGGGTTAATGGATATCAGTTTGAAAATGATCCTCAGCCCCTGCTATATGGTTATTTAGAATTTTAAAAATACATATATTTCACTGTGTGACAACAACATTCTCCTAGATGCAAAAGAAAAAACAAAAAACAAAAAACAAAAGTTGGTCAGGGGAGCCCACGATTAATTTCATGAGTCCTCCATGTATTTTGTTGGAAGGGTTAGCTTCCATGGAAACCACTTCTACCTTAGACCCTTGCTGAGGAGATACAGGGAACTCTTTTAATTGGTTCCTAGTGATTTTGGGAATGGCAACTTAAAGTCAAAGGGGACAAACTCTTGTTGAAAGAGTTCCCTGTTCCCTGTGGTATATAAAAATGAACTGTGAAACAGCTTCTTCCTTTTTTCTATTCCTAGGCTTTATCTTCTTTAAGTTTCCAGACTAGGGTGCAGCAAGAATAGTAGGGAAGGGATTTTCTTCTATCTACTCAAGTAGAAAATGGAAACATAGGAGGAGCACATGATGAGTGGCCTTGTTTGGTTAGGTGACTTTGAGAGGGTAGTATTTTAAATGCTGTGGTTTAGGGGTGCAGGAACCCCAAAGAAGGCACAGGGCAGAGTCATCTGGAATGAATTCTCTGACTCAAGCAGTCTTCCAGTCAAGTAGTAAAAAGTTTATTGTAACGCTAATATAGCAGACAGAGCTCCTTAGGGAACTTACAATTTAATGGGGGTAATGCTGAAGCTTATATAGGAAAAACTTAGTGCATTGTATGCCAAGTGTGCTAATTAGGTGGTGAACATACAGTTTCTGTACCTTGAGCACAGGCATCATTCAGTATTGGAAACCCTGGGTGGATGGGGAACTCTTAAGGGGTGTGTTTTTGGTCTAGATAGCCTCAGGAGTTGATGTCTATAGCTTGATTCCTGGATTGTATATGATAACTATGGGAATCAGTACATAATAGTTCTGCTGGTGCAAGATAGACCTGTTCATACAAGCGAAATTCTGCAGAGGTCAGCTTGCTCTTGTAACAAGGAGAGATAGTTTGCCTCACTGGGGCCCACTCATGAGTTATTGCCAGAGATAGGGTCTTTGAGCTGGGGAGAGATATGGTCCTAGGGATGGGGTCCAAGCATAAGCACCCCAGCAGTACCTCCATTTCCTGGTTGCCTTCTCTTAGTTTTCTGTTTTCTTGAGCACAGGTCAGAGACTAGTAATGCTGAGAAGAGACATTTGTAGCCTTGGAGAGTGTGTCATGGGTAATTCTGGGTTTGAGAGCTCCCAACTTCTTGAGTTTGCAAAAGATTGAAGGTCCTCAGTTTGAGCTTTGGGCACTGGCTTCCAAGAGGGAAAAGATTTTATAACTGTATATAATTTTGGAGAAGGAAAAGGATAGTACTGTACCTGGAGGAATAAAGGCACATTCTTAAGAGGTAGAGCAGTAGATAAGGTCCTGCTAATCCCTCCAAGATATTGTGAGCTATTCGGAAGGTGCAAGTGGAAGTGGATGAGCAGTGTTTGTTTCGCAGTCCCATAAAATGACTCACTTTGGGGATGCATAGGGAGTGAGAGGACTCTAAGGATTCTAATGGGATATGAGAGAAATGATTATTAACAAACCAATGATTTGGGGAGATCCAGAGTTCCACCTTTTTCTGTAGTCCTCATTTCAAAGTTCAGTCTCTTGAAGGACATTCACTGATAATGCCATTGAATTCTCTCTTCTCAATTTTGGTCAGACCTCACCCAAATTTACAGGAATTTAATCTAAGGTGGGGAAACCCATTGTGTTTTACTCTGGTTTGGGTGAGGATAAATTCCTTGATTAGATTGCCCTAGGCTGGGAAGTGGCATGGTTATAGAGATGGTCTCTTTGTCCAATTGTGGCTTGATATCACTATCTTAGCCCCTCATTGGAGTGAACCCACTTCTCATTGTAATATTCATTGTCTCATTAAATGTGATTGCCATCCCCAGGAATATCCACCCTTCCAAGGGCAAATAAATTGTGAGCCCACTGTCATAAGGGATCTTTGGCATTTGGAGAGTGCCACTGACCTCTTATTAATAATATTCTAACCTTATTAATAAAATGATTAAGTTACCTAGGAACTGTGTCTCTCAAACTTTAAACATCACAGATATATGAGTGCTTGATGATTTTCTATTTGTTCCTGGACTCCAGTGAGTTTTTTGCATCTTATTCATCTCTTGTAGTTGTTGAAATGCGGTCTGTCCTATACCTGATACCCATATTTGTGGGAGTGGGGGCCCTGTTATCCACATGTAGGGAAACCCAGGCCCTAGGTACACCTAAACTTTTGTCAGATTTCCTCAGAGTTTTATTTAGGGATGGGGGCAATGAGCCAAAAAAATAAACTGAACTCTTGGGGGTCTTCAATCCATATGAACTCAAGGTCTTTGGGGGGAGCCATGGGCCGGGGGTGATAGTTTTGTTTGTACATAATCAGTCCACAATCCGTCCTTCCCTACCTTTCATAAAGCAAATAAATGAACAAAAACACTAGGAAAACTGTCTAATAGAGCCATCAGGATTCAACACATAATATTTTCTACTTATGAGTCTACCTTCTTCTTAATAGAATATGTTATAACACACTTAACATACTTTAACATACTTTAAAAAGTATGTTTTAACATCAGTCCACTGGAACTAGCATTGGTAATGACATGAGTGCTGTTGCCTTTAATGATTTTTTTCATTTACATTATGGTAATCATTTCATATGTTGTTGCCAGAGTTCTCCTTTCTTTGTCTTTCACCCGTTTTTCCATATTTTGGACCCTTCCCTCTCCCTCAGCTGTTTCCTCGTCTCCAACCATGGCCAGTCAGTTGCCAATTGACGTCTGATTTTACCTCCACCAGATCTCTTTCTTAAAAAAAAATTAAGATTAATTATTTTTTACATTCAATTTTTAAAGTTTTTAGTTGTGAATTTTCTACCTCCCTCCCACCCTTTCCTATGCATTGTGAAGGCAAGACAAGAAATGTACATGTGAAATCATATAAAACATTTTCATATTAGCCATTTTACCAAAAAAAAAAAAAGAGCAAGAAAAATAAAGAAAGTAAAAAAATTATGCTTCTATCTGCATTCATACTCCATCAGTTCTTTCTCTGGAGGAGGATAGCATTTTTCATTATAAGTCCCTTGGAATTGTTTCGAATAGCTGTCATTCACAGTTGATCATTGTGTAATATTGCTATTACTGTGTACAATGTTCTCCTGGATTTGCTTACTTCACTTAGCATCAGTTCATATAAGTCTTCCCAGGTTTTTCTGAGAGCATCCTGCTCATCATTTCTTATAACACAATACTACTGCATCACAACTATATACCACAATTTGTTCAGCCATTTCCCAATTAATGGGTATTCCTTCAATTTCCAATTCTTTGCCACCACAAAAAAGAGCTGCTCTAATTATTTTTGTACATATACATTCTTTTCCTTTTCCTCTGATCTCTCTGGGGTAGAGACCTATTGGTGCTATTACTGGGGTCAAAGGGTATGAATAGTTTTATAGCCCTTTGGGCATAGTTCCAAATTGTTCTCCATAATGGTTGGATCAGTTCACAACTCCACCAATAGTGCATTGGTGTCCCAGTTTTTCCACTTCCAACGTTTGTCATTTTCCT